ACCGAGGACCCGACCAACGCTGCTTGCAGCTTTAATTGTTTTTTATTTTTTAAGTAATTTTTTTTGCCTTTTTTGCCTTTATTACATAGGACAGTGAAAGTAGAGACAGGAAAGTGGGGGAGAAGAATGGGGGAAGGGGTTGCAGCAAGGAGCCATGAGCGGGATTCGAACCCATGGCCGCTGTATCAGACACTATAGCTCCTCAACATGGGTCGCCAGCTCAACCAGGGGAGCTAAAGCGGCGGCCCACTTTATGTGTATTTTTAAATATCACCTTGGAAAAAGTTAACGGGAATCTGAAAGAAAAACTTGCCAAGTTTTGTATAAAAACTTAATACATTTGCTTGCTTTGACTTTTTAAAATTAAAAACTGAGACATGGAAACACCTTTTCTGAATAAATTCTGACACAAAAACCATGAAACTAAAATGACTGGTCAGCTGTCTCCACTTCTTTCTCGTCTTCGCCTCTGGACAGCTTGAAACATGGCAGATACCAGCCGACGTAAACTTGCCCAACACATCTTGAAAACCTCTTGTCATTTTTCAAATACTTGGCCAAAGTTTTATTTGTTTTTGCTTCTGTCACCATCTATTTGAGCTTGTGGATCCACGGTTCACCCTACAAGCTACACACTACATTTCAGACAGTTGTCCTACAACAAAGTTTCTGACCACCTACGTAACCTTAAGGAAGAATTTTTTCTAAACACACCCCAAAACTATTCAGTCATTTAGCATATACAAGGTGTGTCAGAAAAGTTCCAGGGCTGGCGTCTCAAAGATATATTTCAAATCCAAACTACAAACTAAAGGTTAACCCCTTCAAAGTAATCCCCCTGAAGTCTCACGCACTTTTCCAGCCTTCTCTGCCACGCCGCTATGCACTCCTGGAAGGATTCTTCCGGGATCCTCAACAGCCATCTTGATGTTGTCCACGTCTACAAAAACGGTCCCCTTGATGACCCCCCTTGAGCTTGGGGAAGAGGAAAAAATAACACGGAGCCAGGTGGGATGAGTAGGGAGGTTGCTCCAACACAGCAATGTTCTTCTCAGCCAGGAACTGTTGGATGCTCAGGGTATTGTGAGCAGGCGCTTTTCTGACACACCTTGTACATTGGATTCATTTTAATAACTGTAACATCCTTTAAGTGTGTATCTAGGAAACCTGGATTGGGACTCAGTATTGGCAGATATTAAATAACTGAACTGGATCGTATAACGACATCACAACGAGTGACATTTTTGTGCTTTTTGTCCCTGTAAGGGAGGCAGGTCCCCACAATGTGAGTCTGTCAGCAGAATTGTGTCCCCACAACATGAGCAATACAAACACACACACTCTCCACCCTCCTGTCCTCCTCCTGCTGTTTTCAATTAATAAAAACACTCTCACGTCTTGCTGTCAAATCAAAACAAGATTAACCTCAACACAGAAAAATGTGTGTTTTCTGTGCGTGTGTGCATGTGTGCAATGTCCAGGGGTTGCAGTAACCCAACAAGTGGATCGAGCTACAAAGGCCCAGCAAAGTGGGCTAAACCTCTTAGCCCGAACGCATAATGGCCCATTCCTTGAGCTAATGACCACATTTCTTGGGTTCATTTTGGAGATTTCCTGAGCTAATTACGCAGCAACTTCACCACTTCACCAAACCGCTGTGAGATCACATAAAGACTGAATAGAAACTCTGATGAGACAATCTCAGACTAATCCTTGGTGTGGAGAAGCTGAAGTGATCGGGATCACGTCTGTAACTGGGAACCCCAAAATGTCACATGACAAATACGACAGGACGTTTGAGATCGCTATTAACTAGCTATGTAATTATGTCTTTCTTTCTCCCATTTAAGCCAGAATGTCAACTCGAATAAAACATTTCTACATGCAACTTGAGAGCTCGACAGGGTCTTGAGAGCCCTCTCTTTGACAAAGGGAAACACCCCTCAGTGCACACGTTTTTGTCTTTTGGTGGCTTTATTCTCAATAAAATCACTTGCTGTTCACTCTCCACCTCTGCCGGTCAACACGTCTTTATCTTTACACCCGATCTCTTTCAACTTCGGTTCAAACTGTGCTCAATAGCTGCGCGTTGTGTTTTCCCTGAATGCATGAGCTGAGAGGGACGTTTAGAAATAACAGAATTTCCTCTGTCTTCTAAGAGGAAGCCTTGATAATCTCGCCGTAACAGAGCGGATAAACCCAGTCTGATTGGAGGACACGGGTCAGTCACCGTGAGGAATGTGGGGAACAGGTGGGAGAGAGAGAAAGAGGGAGAGAGAGAGAGGGCAATAAGCTTTCATGTTATCGCCCAGAGGGTTGCTTTAATGGTTAACCCATGAAACTGCAATAATCTCTTGTGTGTTAACCACTGATACCAGGAGGCTTAATTGTCAAACTGAAAAAGGGCCTACTGATGCTTTTTACAAGCTCACAAGCTCATCATCACATTAAAAACTCATCTTTAAAAACAGGAGCAAAGCTCAGTTGAGGAAGTCTGAATCGCTGCTGCGTCCACTCTAAGCAAAATGCCGCCTGTCCTTATATAAGTGGCCCATGTTAAGTGCTGCCAAGTCCTACAAAGGAAGCAGTGCATGAAATAATGACTTGGCAGAGCAGTTGGAGATTCATGCACACTGCTGACCCTCTTTGCTCAACTCTCTCCTCTGAATGCAGTGAAGTGGGAAGGCTGGCAAAAAAAGAAATAGATGAAAATCAAAGTGATACCATGGGAAATAAAATGATCACTAGAAACAGTGTCCTATATCTGACACCCATAATCACGGTGCTCTGCATTCTAGACATAACAAACTTTAAAATATATGCAAAAAATCCCATGATCCTCAGATTCAATATGTCCTTCAAAGGTATTAAAGGAATGCAACTATACAAAAACTGCAGGAATACCATCACTGTAAGTCTCCAGGTGAGACACACTATAAAGTAAAGAAATCTGTTCCATGTGAAATCGTAACCAGGCTTCAAGCCAACAGTCATGCTAGCAGCTCAGCAAGGCGACACTGAGGCACAGCATGGCTCTAATAAGTAATTAAAGGAATCTATTCCCACCACTTTATTAAATGCATGAATCCAAGAGAAAAATCATCCATCCATCCATTATCTATACACCACTTAATCCGCACAAGGGTGGCGGGTGGGCTGGAGCCTAGCCCAACTGACTTAGGGCGAAGGCAGGGGACACCCTGGACAGGTCGCCAGTCTATCACAGGGCTCCAGACAACCAAGCACACTCGTTCATACCTATGGAAAATTTAGGATCACCAATTAACCACAACATGACTTTGGACTGTGTGAGAGGAAGCCAGAGAACCTGGAGAGAACCCACACTGCACAGGGAGAATACGCAAACTCCACGCAGAAAGATCCCAGTGCCCCCACAGGGACGCAAACCAGTGACCTTCTTGCTGCGAGGCAACAGTGCTACCAACTGCGCCACCTTGCAGCCCACACAAAGATCAAATAAATAGAAAGAAAGGGGGGGAAAAAACAGATTGAGGTGAACTTTTGATGAGTTGGGTTGACATATTAATGCTGGTAACTGCATCAAGAAGTTAGTATTGAGTGTAATCTAAACTTATTTTTTTTGCATTAGAAGACTTAAAAACTACATTCAAGTTGAGCTAGCTTAATAAAATGAGCTTGAAAATTAATTTTTTCTGCAGCTTGAGTTTAGGAAGTCCCCTCATCTGTCTTAACATGCCTGGGCAATTCCAAATGGTTCACACCGGTAATTATAAAATACATGTGATTGTAGCGCAAAAAGCTAATTCCCCTGACTCAGTGTAGTTTGTTGGCTGAACATAATTTTGTTAGAAGTTGTTCCAACTCAAAAACATTTATGCAAACCACCCAATCATTGATGTTTGTAGTGTAAACACACTTGGAGCCAATGGGAATATTTTTTCACAATACAATCCAAGATAATAAAAAACAATATTAATAAAAAATGTATCCCCAGACTGAGCATGCATTCCAAGCATAACTTTGAACTTTAATGAGTGTTATTGCAGTTGGATTATCAGCCCTTTGTTGGGTGCCACAAAACTTAAAAACGCAATTAAGTGCAGAAAGAATGCAAGGATATTCAAAGGATACCCTGCAGTAGAAAGGAATCTGTCGGGGTTTTTTTGGCTCACCTGGATGGTCTGGCTCGGGTCTCCGGACACCGGGCCTCCGACCAGCTTGCAGTACAGGTCGTGCACCGTCCTGCCGGTCTCCTCCTCCCCGCAGGTCGCCGTGGCGGTGATCTTTGTGCCCTCCGCCAGGTTGAAGTAGGGCGGGTGGAGGCTGTAGCCGTTCACCCCGTTGGTTGGCAGCTCCTGCGTCGACGAGAAGCGCCAGCAGGTCAGCAGCAGCAGCGCAGCGCCGAGAGACGCCGGTCCGCTCGCCATCCTCTCCACCTGTGCGCTCGATCCGGTCCGACAAGTTTGGGTGTGGGGAGGGGGGGAGTTGGGGTTTGTGGGGTGTAAACGAAAGCGGGTATCCAGGAGGTGAGCTGCTAACGCCTGCAGGAGATGAGCATTTGGAGGAAAGTGTTTCAAACTGCAGGGGAGTGAGTTAAATCCTCCGGAGCGGTGCGTCGAGGTTGCCGTGCTGTCTGTGTGTCGATCCGCCAGCAGGCACCTTCTCCAACTGAGCCTGTGCGCTCCCTCCCTCCTCCTCCTCCTCCTCCTCCTCCTCCTCCTCTGTGTTGGCCCTGCCCCAGTGGTTGGAGGAGGGCACAGAGCTCCCAATGCTCGGTGTTTCAGTTCATCCGACAGAAGCTTTCATCAAGCGGCTACGGTATCTGAATAAACGGAAAGTTTGCATCCATGAGACCAGTAAATACAAATTATATATTTGGGATGAGTTTTAGGAATGTATCACTTTTCATTTCTTCTTTCAATTCAATTTAATTCAGTTCAATTCAACTAGTCTTCCAAGACTGTTTATTTAGCTTGCAACACACAAAGTCAAGAATTCCTTGTATGTGAAAATTTACTTGGTAAAAATGTGAGACTCGGATTTATTTCATTTCAGTATGCTTTATTAGCACAGATATCAGGTAACAATATTGTAATTAAAGAAAAAAATACATCAATATATTCAGGATAGATTGACTTATTAAAATTGGTACTTGCATCAACTTAATGTGTGTAATTTAAACTCAAATTATATTTTTAAAAAATAATATATAGTGTTCAAATATACAACTGCAGTTCACAATAAAGTATGAATAAATGATAAAGTAATAAATAAGGTTAATCAGACAAGATGTGGTTATTGAATTAATTACTTTCTTAAAAAACTTATACATGAAAAAAAACACTATTAAAGAAAATGTGTTTGGAGCTTCAGTACCTGTGCTAATACATATGGTAAATAAGAACAAAACGCTTACAAATCTGATTTAAATAACATGGAAATTAAAAAGAAAAAAGAATGGAAAAACTTGACTTTTACAATGAATCAACTTGAAAACTTATGTTTATGCAGCAAATCATTAAGTAAATGGTCATTTAAAATAGAAAAAGAAACGCTAACTCAGCATAGTTTGTTGTATGAACATATTTTAATTGTCAGAATGACTAAAAAGTTAATGCAAACTGATTTTTTTTTTTGAGTGCAACATCATTGTTTAGTGCGGATTGTAGGTAAGAAAAACAGTACTTTAAAAACATATATGCATTTGTATAAGAGTTACTGTGCTACAATAAAAAGGTTAAATTGAACAAAACAGGGATTTAGAGCAAGATAACAGTTAAATGCACAAAGAAGAGCAGTCTCCTCTCCTTAAGCAAAGTCTTTGTACTGCAGAAATGATCTATAATAGTTCGTGTCAAGGTGACTGTCATATTATGTCTCATGTGTCGCTCAGTTTGTGACAAACACTCATGTACTGTGCTGCGAGGTGAGCTGTGTGTTCGTCTCCTAACAGAAGCTATTGCTTTTGTAAAGTTTGAGATTAACAAGATTGAAAGAAGAAATCTCCATCTCTGCCTCACCTGTCGTGCAGTGACCACAGAATGATTTCTTAATGTATTGGGGGTCGAGGGTCGTACTTTGCAGTGACTACTGTTGTCACAAGAAAAGCTCAGATGCGAGATATTGAAAATATGCTGGTAATGAGTATTTTCCATGATTTTAAAAAAGGTTATTGTAATGGTAAATAAACATTCTGCCTATTTATGTTCATGGTTTAGAGCAAGATGGCAGCGAAGTTTGTTGTGGTTTGATTCATCATGTAAAGTTTCCTGGTAAAGGATCAATAAAGTTTTTTCTTATCTTAGCCAGTGTTCCAGATAAGCGTCTTTTGATGATGTAATAATGCAGTTGACTCTGATTCAAAGTTGCACCAGTGCTGGTCAGAGGTTGATCACAGTCTCAGGACCAGCTGACTGAAGGGTCTTTGGTTTTGTTGAGCTGGAAATCTATTAAAGTGTGTTTTGGGGGGCTTGATTTGAGATGCAACCAAACTTAAATAACAAAAATAAGTTTATCTATAGAGCATGCAAAAAGTACAAGTAACAGTGCTTTACAAGGCAGCAAAATAAAACAGACTTACATACATGGTGTATAAAACAAAACATCACTGAAAGAAAGAAATAATAAAAAAAAAAACCTTCAGAGGACATTAAAACTCAGATGAAATCAGGCTCTCTAAATGAATCCAGATATCAGGGAATGTTCCCACAACAATGACTAACATTACCTACAAGTTCTAATGAAGTTTAAAAGTTTTGTTCCTATGAGGTTAAAAGTGAATCATCTTCATTTAGATGAGGTTTGTGTCACGGGATAACTAGGCTGGTTGACCCAAATGCAGAAATGACACTCAGGAGAGATGGAATCCAAAAATAAGGTTTATTGTAGAAATTGACGTAGTAAAGATGAGAAAGAAAACGAGGCGGGGGTGTTACCGGTAGGGAGCAGATTGCCCAGGAAGCCACGGAGAAGGCTCGGGTTTGGTGCAGGTGGAGACACAGACAGGAAGCAGGAACACTGGAGAATCCTCAACGAAGGAAAGGCGGTCTCGCTGACACTCGGAAAAAGGCACGAAGGGAGGCTCGGAGGAACACGAAGGGAACACTCGGGTGGTGGCTAGAAGTCGCCATGTAGGGCAACACTCAGGCAAAGAGTGAGTGGTGAAAGCTCCTCTTTTACCGGTGGTGACGACCCAAATGAATTGCAGGTGTGTAGCTCACACACCTGCAGAGAATCAGTCACTGAGAATTCCTCCAGGACGCCCTCTGGTGGACGCCTGGCGGAGAACAAAAACACAGGGCCAAAAATCACCATTCCCTGACAGTTTGGGGATGTTGTCACAGATAATGTTCTATAATAACAAAGAAAGAACATTCTTTGAAGTTATGATGTTCCAGATGTTACCGAGGTCTCTGGTGATATTTATAAATCGTTCTTGTAATGTGATATGGTGATATGTTGAGTCCGCAATGTTCTCAGCATGTTTTGGGAAACACATTGCAGAACGTTCTTCTGTAAAACATTTGCACAATGTTCCACAATGTTACATGAAAAGAAAGGAGGAGGGAAGTTCTCAATGCAACATTTGTTCTAAGAGTGTTGGAGCCCAACAATCTGACAACTGTATTACAAAACATTCTTAGAACATCTTTAGTTTTTAAGAAGAATGTTCTAAAATAAATCTTCCATCTGAAAACATTATCAGAACTTTCTCAGAACATTTCAAGGATGTTTTCAATCTTCAGTAATGTTCCTAATCGATGAAAAGATTTAAAATCCTCATTCAGAGAATAGTTGGAGGATGCTGTCACTGATTCTGTTACATGGCAACAAAGAAAGAACTTCCTCAATGCAACATTCATGAGATGTTCTCGAGGCCCCAGATGATAAAAAAGGTCTTTATAAAATGATCCTGTAATGCGACATATTAACAAAAGGGAGAACATTCTCAATGCAGCATCAGTTACAAGAACACAAGGGCTAACATTCTAGGAACGTAAATAAAACTTCCTGCTGAAAACATTACTAGAACTTTGCAGAAATTTCTTAGACACCGTTAGAACAAAGGAATTTTAGCTGTGACGTGTGTTTTAAGAACTTAAAAGACTTAAAGAGATCGCTGACTCAGCCAACCAGATTTATTCGGGCAGATCATTCCACTGTAAATGTTGCTTTTAATGTTAATGATCAGTGAGTGACGTTCTTCTTTTGCCCTGCAGAATCTTTGACATATTTCTCTGGATGTTTAACATGACCCTGCAGCATTTCCATCTAGTGTAGTCCTGCTGACTGAGTGGACTCTGCTCACTCTCCCATTCCTGCATCCTTCCAACTTTTCTTCCCATTGCTTTTCCCTTTCCTGATTTCTTTATTTCTCCTAATGCCCTGCTCACTTTTACTTCATTTTCCTTTCTCATCTCTCAGATCTCATAAGTGTAAAGAAATAAGACGAGATATTGGGAAGTTCTTTGAATACACAAATAAATATAAACAGACAGATGCTTAAACATGTGCAGTTTTAAAGCAGTTTTCAGGTTTTATTTGAACCTCTTAAGACCTGGTGTCCACATGTGTGGACATCACATTTTGGGTTAAATTCCCACAGTAGTGTTTTGTTTTAATTTAATTTAATTTAATTTAATTTAATTTAATTTAATTTAATTTAATTTAATTTTTTTTTAAATATATTTTTCAATTTTTGATTCTTTTTGCTATTTGATCAGATCAAATGGCAAAGAGAAATTTTTAAAAATGCATATCAAACAAGAGCTCGGGTCTTAAGATGTTAAAACGTATATTTAGAAAAAGTCTGTAAAATTAAAGACATTAACTGTAGTTAATTTAAGTATGATGCCAATAATGCCAGATTACATTAATTTCTCTTTTATATTTTTCCCCCCAAAACGTACTGCTTTTCTTAAATTCCGCACAATTTTTTTTAAAAATGGCAACAGTTATCAGTAATTAAATATGTAGCTTGAATTATGTTTCCCTTGTAATTTGTTCCTTTAATTTAAATGTATGTGTATTTTTACATTCAAACACTGTCATTCTGTAAACAATTGAATTTAACTTTTTCTCCAGGTTGAATCCTTCATGTCACATTTTGTCCCTCTGGATCCCCACTGGCCCTGCAGTGGCAATGTAAAGGTTTTAGATGATACATGGGCTTAACTGTCTTAAAACTGTTAAATTTTGTATCTGTAAAAGCAATGAATTTTTTTTTTTTTAAAGTAAGAAAAACTAAAAAGAATTAATAAAATAAAAATAAATTGTTCCACAAAATTGCAGTGTTGCCATAAAAAAACATTTATATAACATGTACATTTATTTTTTTTGCAATGTTTTTTTTTTCAGTTTTAGTTTTGACAGTGTAACTCTCACAAACAAAACAACACTAGTCTGCAGATTTCCAAATAAATTTGTG